TTCTTTATATTATACAAAACGAACAAGTAATTAAAATTGAAATTTTTCCCTAATTAGGAGGTTCAATTCATATGAACAAACAATTATGTACTTAAGGATATAGTGCGGATGACAAGAAACAGATGATTGCTGATGTTATGAATGAAAAGAAGTTGGATGTCCTGGCCCTAAGCGAAACAAAGCTGAAGGGGGTAGGGGAGTTTCGGTGGGGGGAAATAAATGGGATTAAATCTGGAGTATCAGAGAGAGTTAGAGCAAAGGAAGGGGTAGCAGTAATGTTGAAGGATCAGCTATGGAAGAAGAAAAGAGAATATGAATGTGTAAATTCAAGAATTATGTGGATTGAAGTAAAGGTTGGATGCGAAAAGTGGGTCATAATAAGCGTGTATGCACCTGGAGAAGAGAGGAATGTAGAGGAGAGAGAGAGATTTTGGGAGATGTTAAGTGAATGTATAGGAACCTTTGAACCAAGTGAGAGAGTAATTGTGGTAGGGGACCTGAATGCTAAAGTAGGAGAAACTTTTAGAGAGGGTGTGGTAGGTAAGTTTGGGGTGCCAGGTGTAAACGATAATGGGAGCCCTTTGATTGAACTTTGTATAGAAAGGGGTTTAGTTATAGGTAATACATATTTTAAGAAAGAGGATAAATAAGTATACAAGATATGATGTAGGGTGAAATGACAGTAGTTTGTTGGATTATGTATTGGTAGATAAAAGACTGTTGAGTAGACCTTAGGATGTACATGTTTATAGAGGGGCCACAGATATATCAGATTACTTTTTAGTTGTAGCTACACTGAGAGCAAAAGGTAGATGGGATACAAGAAGAATAGAAGCATCAGGGAAGAGAGAGGTGAAGGTTCATAAACTAAAAGAGGAGGCAGTTAGGATAAGATATAAACAGCTATTGGAGGATAGATGGGCTAATGAGAGCATAGGCAATGGGGTCGAAGAGATATGGGGTAGGTTTAAAAATATAGTGTTAGAGTGTTCAGCAGAGGTTTGTGGTTACAGGAAAATGGGTGCGGGAGGGAAGAGGAGTGATTGGTGGAATGATGATGTAAAGAGAGTAGTAAGGGAGAAAAAGTTAGCATATGAGAAGTTTTTACAAAGTAGAAGTGATGCAAGGAGGGAAGAGTATATGGAGAAAAAGAGAGGTTAAGAGAGTGGTGAAGCAATGTAAAAAGAGAGCAAATGAGAGAGTGGGTGAGATGTTATCAACAAATTTTGTTGAAAATAAGAAAGTTTTGGAGTGAGATTAACAAGTTAAGGAAGCCTAGAGAACAAATGGATTTGTCAGTTAAAAATAGGAGAGGAGAGTTATTAAACGAAGAGTTAGAGGTATTGGGAAGATGGAGGGAATATGTTGAGGAATTGTTAAATGTTGATGAAGATAGGGAAGCTGTGATTTCGTGTATAGGGCAAGGAGGAATAACATCTTGTAGGAGTGAGGAAGAGCCAGTTGTGAGTGTGGGGCAAGTTCATGAGGCAGTAGGTAAAATGAAAGGGGGTAAGGCAGCCGGGATTGATGGGATACAGATAGAAATGTTAATAGCAGGTGGGGATATAGTTTTGAAGTGGTTGGTGCAATTATTTAATAAATGTATAGAATAGGGTAAGGTACCTAGGGATTGGCAGAGAGCATGCATAGTTCCTTTGTATAAAGGCAAAGGGGACAAAAGAGAGTGCAAAAATTATAGGGGGATAAGTCTGTTGAGTATACCTGGTAAAGTGTATGGTAGAGTTATTAATGAAAGAATTAAGAGTAAGACGGAGAATAGGATAGCAGATGAACAAGGAGGCTTTAGGAAAGGTAGGGGGTGTGTGGACCAGGTGTTTACAGTGAAACATATAAGTGAACAGTATTTAGATAAGGCTAAAGAGGTCTTTGTGGCATTTATGGATTTGGAAAAGGCGTATGACAGGGTGATAGGGGGGCAATGTGGCAGATGTTGCAGGTGTATGGTGTAGGAGGTAGTTTTACTGAAAGCAGTGAAGAGTTTTTACGGGATAGTGAGGCTCAAGTTAGAGTACATAGGAAAGAGGGAAATTATTTCCCAGAAAGTAGGCCTTAGACAAGATTGTGATGTCAGTGGTTGTTTAATATATTTATAGATGGGGTTGTAAGACAAGTAAATTCGGGGTCTTGACAAGAGGCGTGGAGTAAAAAGAATTAAGAAGTTCTACATAAAGTGGGAGTTGTCACAGTTGCTTTTTGCTGATGACACTGTGCCTTGGGAGATTGGAGAGTGAAATTGCAGAGGTTGGCAGAGTGAATTTGGTTGGGTATCAGGTTTAATATTAGTGAAGGTATTTCAGGGAAACGGTTATTTTCATATAGTCGGATTTGAGTCCTGGAAATGGGAAGTACAATGCTGCACTATTAAAGAGGGGTTTTGGGATATTGGCAGTTTGGAGAGGGAATTATGTTGTGTAGCTTTATATGTTTATGCTCTAGACTGTTGTATTTGAGACAGGGTTGCAAAAACAGTGATAATGTGCGAGTGTGGTTGAAAGGGTTGATTATGATAAAGAATTTCTAATTTGGGATTTTCCTTCTTTTTTGGGTCACCTGCCTTCGGTGGGAGACGGCCGACTGTTGAAATGAAAAAAAAAAAGAATGCAAAAGAAGAAAATTAAAAGTGAATACAGGAAAGAGTACGGTTATGAGGATAACAAAAAGATTAGGTGATGAAAGATTGGATATCAGATTGGAGGGAGAGAGTATGGAGGAGGTGAATGTATTCAGATATTTGGGAGTGGACGTGTCAGCGGATGGGTCTATGAAAGATGAGGTGAATCATAGAATTTTTTTTTTTTTTTTCAATAAGTCGGCAGTCTCCCACCGAGGCAGGGTGACCCAAAAAAAGAAAGAAAATCCCCAAAAAGAAAATACTTTCATCATCATTCAACACTTTCACCACACTCGCACATTATCACTGTTTTTGCAGAGGTGCTCAGAATACAACAGTTTAGAAGCATACACATATAAAGATACACAACATATCCCTCCAAACTGCCAATATCCCAAACCCCTCCTTTTAAAGTGCAGGCATTGTACTTCCCATTTCCAGGACTCAAGTCCGACTATATGAAAATAACCGGTTTCCCTGAATCCCTTCACTAAATATTACCCTGCTCACACTCCAACAGATCGTCAGGTCCCAAGTACCATTCGTCTCCATTCACTCCTATCTAACACGCTCACGCACGCTTGCTGGAAGTCCAAGCCCCTTGCCCACAAAACCTCCTTTACCCCCTCTCTCCAACCCTTTCGAGGACGACCCTACCCCGCCTTCCTTCCCCTATAGATTTATATGCTTTCCATGTCATTCTACTTTGATCCATTCTCTCTAAATGACCAAACCACCTCAACAACCCCTCTTTGCCCTCTGACTATACTTTTATTAACTCCACACCTTTTCCTAATTTCCACACTCCGAATTTTCTACATAATATTTACACCAGACATTGCCCTTAAACAGGACATCTCCACTGCCTCCAACCGTCTCCTCGCTGCTGCATTTACCACCAAAGCTTCACACCCATATAAGAGTGTTGGTACTACTATACTTTCATACATTCCCTTCTTTGCCTCCATAGATAACGTTTTTTGACTCCACATATACCTCAACGCACCACTCACCTTTTTTCCTTCATCAATTCTATGATTAACCTCATCCTTCATAAATCCATCCGCCGACACGTTAACTCCCAAGTATCTGAAAACATTCACTTCTTCCATACTCATCCTCCCCAATTTGAGATCCAATTTTTCTTTATCTAAATCATTTGACACCCTCATCACCTTACTCTTTTCTATGTTCACTTTCAACTTTCTACCTTTACACACATTCCCAAACTCATCCACTAACCTTTGCAATTTTTCTTTATAATCTCCCATAAGCACAGTATCATCAGCAAAAAGTAACTGTGTCAATTCCCATTTTGAATTTGATTCCCCATAATTTAATCCCACCCCTCTCCCGAACACCCTAGCATTTACTTCCTTTACAACCCCATCTATAAATATATTAAACAACCATGGTGACATTACACATCCCTGTCTAAGACCTACTTTTACCAGGAAGTAGTCTCCCTCTCTTCTACACACCCTAACCTGAGCCTCACTATCCTCATAAAAACTCATAAATTGAATTGATGAGGGGAAAAGGGTGAGCGGTGCACTTAGGAGTCTGTGGAGACAAAGAACTTTGTCCTCGGAGGCAAAGAGGGGAATGTATGAGAATATAGTTTTACCAACGCTCTTATATGGATGTGAAGCATGGGTGATGAATGTTGCAGCGAGGAGAAGGCTGGAGGCAGTGGAGATGTCATGTCTGAGGGCAATGTGTGGTGTGAATATAATGCAGAGAATTCATAGTTTGGAAGTTAGGAGGAGGTGCGGGATTACCAAAACTGTTGTCCAGAGGGCTGAGGAAGGGTTGTTGAGGTGGTTCAGACATGTAGCGAGAATGGAGTGAAACAGAATGATTTCAAGAGTGTATCAGTCTGTAGTGGAAGGAAGGCGGGGTAGGGGTCGGCCTAGTAAAGGTTGGAGGGAGGGGGTAGAGGTGGTTTTGTGTGCGAGGGGCTTGGGCTTCCAGCAGGCATGCGTGAGCGTGTTTGATAGGAGTGAATGGAGACAAATGGTTTTTAATACTTGACGTGCTGTTGGAGTGTGAGCAAAGTAACATTTATGAAGGGATTCAGGGAAAAAAGCAGGCCGGACTTGAGTCCTGGAGATGGGAAGTACAGTGCCTGCACTCTGAAGGAGGGGTGTTAATGTTGCAGTTTAAAAACTGTAGTGTAAAGCACCCTTCTGGCAAGACTGATGGAGTGAATGATGGTGAAAGTTTTTCTTTTTCGGGCCACCCTGCCTTGGTGGGAATCGGCCAGTGTGTTAATAAAAAAAATATAGAATAAGTACTATATATGAATGTACATTTATCTACAATATATTTTACATAAAAATAAAATATGCTCAGCATATACACATACCGACTATTTCTTGTTCTGGATCTACGGGGAGCTGGTAGAACGCCTTCAGAAATGAGCCCTTCATAGATCTTCCCTTTGCAAGCTCGAGGTGCCCGTGATCGGCTACCTGCTACCCCTAACCCATTTCTAGAATTTCCCCGATTGGTACGGCCACTTGAAATATCACGTCTCTGAAAGAGAAGGGAATTAACATATTTAATAACTCACATCAGATTTTGAGAGGTCAGAAGATATTTATATAATGAGAACGTTATTTGCAGTAACTCAGTAATGCAGAGAATGTCTTTTTTTTTTTTTTTTTTTTTTTTTTTTTTAGAATCAGTGCATGATAGACAATTCTGACTATTAGAAATTAGACACCACTACCTTAACACTCTTAGAAATTACACACTACTATCTTACTGAGTTAAAAAAATCTGAATTATCTCTTAAATTGTTTTTTTGAAGTCCTCCATTAATTCCCTTGTTCAACTTACATCTACATGGCCCTGAACTGCAATTGCAAGCATGACAGAAGATTACTCCTGGAAGAGTGTAACAAGGATCATGAACATAGCACATGAAATAAATCTCTTAAGTGCCTCATCGATAACTATCTCTAGAAATAATGTATATCAATTATTTTAACAGCTTACTAAAAATACCACATTGAATCATGTTCAATATATCTCAGAGAATTTTTAATTAATACTGGCTAAATCCTGATATTTCCACCTGAGAATACACAGTCATACTTTCAAATCTGCTGATTTCCTTATTTGTTGGTTTCCATAATCCAATGTGTTTTACTGAAGAACAACCCTCAAATAATTTCAATTATCAACGAGTTTCTGGCATTTTTTTCAGGCTTGTCACATGGCCCCTAAATTGAAAACTAACCCTAAGACTTATTTTTAATTTTTCTCAAGAGAGGGATATAATGTACTGTAATACAGATATTCTTTCTGAAACAAAATAAATCCAATCGTTTCTTCTTTCTTTCCACAAACTGGCCGTATCCCAATGAAGCAGGGTGGCCCAAAAGCAAAAACGAAAGTTTCTCCATTTAAATTTAGTAATATATACAGGAGAAAGGATTACTAGCCCCTTGCTCCCAGCATTTTAGTTGCCTCTCATGCCACGCATGGCTTAAGGAGGAAGAATTCTGTTTCACTTCCCCAGGGAGATAAGCAGAAATAAACAAGAACTAGTAAAAAAATAGAAGACAGCCCAGAGGGGTATGTATATATATGCTTGTACATTCATGTGTAGTGTGACCAAAGTGTGAGTAGAAGTAGCAAGACGTACCTGAAATCTTACGTGTTTACGAGACAGAAAAAAGACACCAGCAGTTCTATCATCATGTATAACAATTACAGGCTTTTGTTTCACACTCACATGGCAGGACGGTAGTACCTCCCTGGGTGGCTGCTGCCTACCAACCTACTACCTAGAAAATCCAATCTATGAAACACAAATTGAACCCAATCTGAAACAAAATTTATGTTGACATAATTTTGGAAGGTAGGAGGGTAATGGTTGGTGGGACAAGGTAAAAAAGAGGCCTTGAGTTTTAGAGGCTTGAGCATCCAGAAGGCTTGTAAGAGCATGTTAGACAGAAGTGAACAGACACAAGAAGTTTTTAATGAACATGCTGTTGGAGTGTGTGCAGGGTAACTTTTATGAAGGGAATCAGGGAAAACCAGTTAGCTGAATTTGAGTTCTGGAGATAAAAGGGTAGTGCTTGCACTATTATTATTATTATTATTATTATTATTATTATTATTATTATTATTTTTTTTTTTAACAAGTCGGCCGTCTCCCACCGAGGCAGGGTGACCCAAAAAAGAAAGAAAACCCCCAAAAAGAAAATGCTTTCATCATCATTCAACACTTTCACCACACTCACACATAATCACTGTTTTTGCAGAGGTGCTCAGAATACAACAGTTTAGAAGCATATACGTATAAAGATACACAACATATCCCTCCAAACTGCCAATATCCCAAACCCCTCCTTTAAAGTGCAGGCATTGTACTTCCCATTTCCAGGACTCAAGTCCGACTATATGAAAATAACCGGTTTCCCTGAATCCCTTCACTAAATATTACCCTGCTCACACTCCAACAGATCGTCAGGTCTCAAGTACCATTCGTCTCCATTCACTCCTATCTAACACGCTCACGCACGCTTGCTAGAAGTCCAAGCCCCTTGCCCACAAAACCTCCTTTACCCCCTCTCTCCAACCCTTTTGAGGACGACCCCTACCTCGCCTTCCTTCCCCTATAGATTTATATGCTTTCCATGTCATTCTACTTTGATCCATTCTCTCTAAATGACCAAACCACCTCAACAACCCCTCTTCTGCCCTCTGACTAATACTTTTATTAACTCCACACCTTTTCCTAATTTCCACACTCGAATTTTCTGCATAATATTTACACCACACATTGCCCTTAGACAGGACATCTCCACTGCCTCCAACCGTCTCCTCGCTGCTGCATTTACCACCCAAGCTTCACACCCATATAAGAGTGTTGGTACTACTATACTTTCATACATTCCCTTCTTTGCCTCCATAGATAACGTTTTTTGACTCCACATATTATCATCATTCTTTCAACAAACTGGCCATATCCCACCAAGGCAAGGTAGCCCAAAAAGAAAAACAAAAGTTTCTCTTTTTAACTTTAGTAATGTATACAGAAAAAGGGATTACTAGTCCCTTGCTCCCATCATTTTAGTCGCCTCTTACAACACGCATAGCTTACGGAGGAAGAATTGTTCCACTTCCTCATGGAGATTATATTATTATTATTATTACAGGTGGGGATGCCCTCGGTACCCTCTTTCTGGTGTTCCACTTTTTGGTGATTTTCAACTGAGCTATTGTTCATTAGGCTCAGTGTTTTTTTTTCCGTTTTTCTGCGTAACAATCTTTGTCTATATGTGTGTGTGTCTAATTTATCAACATGTATCAGAAATCTTCCCTATGAGGATAGACTGAGGGCCCTGAATCTGCACTCTCTAGAAAGGCATAGAATTAGGGGGGATATAATTGAGGTGTATAAATGGAAAGCAGGAATTAATAAAGGGGATGTAAATAGCGTGCTAAAAATATCTAACATAGACAGGACTCGCAGCAATGGCAATAATAAAGGAATTAATAAAGGGGATGTAAATAGCGTGCTAAAAATATCTAACATAGACAGGACTCGCAGCAATGGTAATAGAGTTGTGGATGAGTGGAACAAACTCCCGAGTACCGTCATAGACGCTAAGACGTTGTGAAGTTTTAAAAATGGGTTGGATAAATGCATGAGTGGGTGTGACCTAGTAGCTTGTGCTACTAGGTCAGATACCGTGCTCCTCCCTTAAGTGACGTGTCTGACCTCACTAGGTCAAGGCATTGGCTTAAGCTGGTAGAAGAATTGGACCTGCCTTGCATAGGCCAGTAGGCCTGTTGCATGTTCCTTCTTTCTTATGTTCTTATAACTGATGCCATATTTTAAGATAAGTATTGTATGTACCGTGTATTTATTTTTGTATCTGATTTTTATGCCTAGCTGTATTGAGCACTTAATATATGATACTGCAAATGTGTTATCAGGCACTTTAGACATTCAAATTTAAAAAAAAAAAAAAAATTCTTCCCCACTTGCCAATGATTTTCACTTATTGCTGGGGGTCAGGAACCTAACAGCCATAAAGACAGGGCCCTCCTGTATTATTATTAAAGACTGGCCATTTCCTAGCAAGGTAGGGGGACCTGAAAAAGAAGAAACATTTTCACCATCACCATCTTGCCAGAGGCACTATGACACTGCAGATCAGATGTCCCTCCAAACTGTATTATCCCCACCCCTCCTTCAGAGTGCAGGCATTGTACTTCCCACCTCCAGGACTTATGTCCAGTTAAATGGTTTCTCTGAATCCCTTCATAAATGTTACTTTGCTCACACTCCAACAGTATGTCAAGTCATAAAAATTCCTTACCTCCATTCCTATCTAGCACACAAACACCCCTACCCTGCCTTCCCTCCATTACAGATTTATACAGCCTCCAAGTTACAACAATGGATAATGAACAAGTTAACAAGTCTGTAGGAACATGTGAAGGGAACAAAAACATGTATAGTGAACAAGTTATAAACTTCTAACGTACAAGTTATGAACATGTGTAGTGAACAAGTTATTACAATGGGTAATGAACAAGTTATCAACAGGTGAAGGGAACAAGTTATGAACATGTGTAGTGAATATGTCCACTGATGCACCTTCATGTCATGAAAGAGCAGTGTAAGACTACAACTGCAGGAACCAAGCACTAACTGTACTACTTTCAGTTACTGTATATTTGTGCTTAAGATGTAAGTACATTCTTCATGGGGAAGTGGAACAGAATTCTTCCTCCGTAAGCTATGCGCGTTGTAAGAGGCGACTAAAATGCCGGGAGCAACGGGCTAGTAACCCCTTCTCCTGTATATATTACTAAATTTAAAACGAGAAACTTCTGTTTTTCTTTTTGGGCCACCCCGCCTCAGTGGGATACAGCTGGTGAGTTGAAAGAAAGATGTATGTACATGCATTAGTGTACTAGTTTAAGCTATATGAATACTGTGCTACTTAATATATATGTAGATGCACAAGTAATACTAGTTCAAGGCACATTAACAGTAAACTCAAGATATAACAGACCTCGATATAGCAGACTTCTGAAATAACAGACAAAATCCGCTTAGTAAATTATGCTTTAACCCTCCCTTATTAATGCTTATTGCAGTATATCTTTAAATTGCTTGTACAGTAGCTACTACGTTATGGATACTGTAGAGTACTTTAGTGATTTTTCTGCTAATTTTTTAAATTATTTTATTTAACAGACACTCAAACACTACCACTTACTTTTTTTTCAACTGGCTACATCCCACCGAGGCAGGATGAACTAATAAAAAAAAAGGAAGTTTCTCTTTTTAAATTTAGTAATGTATACAGGAGAAGGGGTTACCAGCCCCTTGCTCCCGGCATTTTAGTTGCCTCTTATGACACGCATGGCTTACTGAGGAAGAATTCTTTTCCACTTCACCATACAGATACCCCTTATTATAGTTCATTATATTAATGCACCCACAGAACAGTGATTTTTTTAGCAACTAACAACACTGTGACCAGTCGGGAACTGAACCTGGGACATTTAGCCTGGCTCCCAGGAACAAAGCTAACTTCCTGATACCTTAACCTACTTGATTACCCTGCTACTGTAATATGGTAGTCAAGTGGGTTAAGGTGTTGGGAGGTTAGCTTGCTTCCCAGGAGCTAGGCTAAATGTCCCGGGTTCGATTCCCGACTGGTCGCAGTAATGTTAATAGTCCATTATATTGAGGACTTACTTTTCTATATTTATTAAAATCAAAAACAAAAATACCTTTTTTAGAGAGGCATCAGTTTCGTCTCCATCTTCCTTGGTTCTCTTTCTGGGTCGGGGATTTGGATTGGAAATGCCATTAGTGTTACTATTACAACTGGAGCTCATGGCTTCCTTGGGTTCACCTTTTGCCTCCTCTGACTGCATCTCTTCATTTCTGTTTGGTTCTGCTACTGATGTGCCATTGCTGGAAATATTACTTTTAGTTTCTGTTATTGGTCCTTTGCCCTCTTCTCTTAGTAATTTCTCCTTTTTTTCCTTTTCATCATAAGCTCTATCAATCACAAAATCAATAGTTTTTGAAACAAGTAAACTCACATCACACATTCCATTTATTCGTGCATCAATAGTCTTGTGAAAGGCAGGTTTTTCTATTTCATTATTATTATTATTCAAGTTTTCAGGTCGGAAGAAACGAGGAACATCAGAGCGATTATCACTACTCACGCTATTTATGTTTGGCGCACCACACATTCTATCTACAATGTTATTAATCAACTGTTGCTGTGAAGCACACAATGTTGTCTCTGTCGTTAAGTTAAGAGGCTGTTCATCTGGCGGAGGAGTGTGAGGTTGGCCAGGAGGTGAAATATGCCCATATAAAGGACCATTTGACCCTTGTAAAGGACTGTGAGAAACGTCAAAATGATGGCTCTGCTCAGCAGGAGCTACACTGGGGATCCCTGGAGGAGAACTAGTATTGATACAACCATTGGTTGCTCTTCTCTGATGCTCATCCACAGCTTCAGTATCGGTAAAAAACCCATACTCACTCCTCTGCCTGGGACCTTGAGGCCAGTGAGAGTTCAATCTGATTTTGTCATCAATGGAATTTTTCTGAAAAAAATATAAAAACAATAAACAGCCTTGACTACATTACAATATGAATAGATAAAAATAATTTTAAATACAGGTGGATGACAACATGCAGCTGATATACTGAAGTTCCGAGTATTCTTTGATTTCCACACCTTTTCATATTTTCTACATTACATTGATGACTCAACAAATTTGTACTTGAGCCATTATAAGATATATTATTAATAGTACACCATACCAACAAGTTGGTAAATAAGACTCGTGTACAACATTTAGGTATCTTTATTGCCAAAGCATTTCACTTGCACAAAAGGCTTCTTCAACCGAATAAAAAGGCAATTTTAATACTTAAAACAGTTTAAGAAATGGAGAGGTAATTTAGAGTGCCTCAGCCCTGACAGATGTTCACTCCCTTAGCCTCTATTAAACGTGGTCAGTTCCTTAGTCCCTTACATCAGTCCCTTAGGCCCCTAAGTGAGTCCCAGACATTATTAGGCACAAAAGAAAGCCACTAGTATACAAATGTTTAATCAAAACTAATGGAATGAACGCTTACTATCAAGGCTGAGAGACTGAATGCATCAAAATTACCTCTCAATTTCTTCCATCCCCAGCATCAAAATCACCTGTTGTGAAGGCAAAACCTTTTGGTAATAAAGATATTTAAGTGTTGCCATCAGTATAAAGTGCTGTCTTTCCTATATTAGGCAGTAACTTGCATGCTTGTAAATACTTTTATATCCTCCAATTCCAAAAAGAGTGAAGGGAACAAACCTGTGAGTGTGAATACCTTTACTGTATGCTTAATTACTGAACCCTTCAACTGTCCACACCCAACAAACTGAAAACCCCTTCTGTGTCCACAAGTTTAAAAAAAAAATCCTCTAAATTAATAGAGAATCTTTTTCTAACGGTAATAACACATAGCCCAAATTTAATATAATACTTATGGAATTACACAAGTGAGAAGTTAGAGGCCAGATAGAGAACTTTACATAACAGTGATTTTGCACATTTTGAGGCCTATTTTCAGTTTATTTCAGTACTCAAACCAGTTGCTGGCTATTTTGCTAGTTTGCCTTCCATATTATCCAATAATGGCAAAAAATCCCCATTCAACTACCAGAACTATACTATTAAGCAGCCAGGATTCAGAAATTTGGCAAATTTTACACAATTTTCAACAAATTCTTGATAAGTGATTCCCCCCCTCCCCAAAAAAACATTCATCATCATTAATTACCTACTTCATATTTTTTTTTTTCAACAGATGGGCCATATCCCACCAAGGGAGGGTGACCAAAAAGAAGAACAAAAGTTTCTCTTTTTAAATTTAGTAATGCATACAGAAGGGATTACTAGCCTTTTGCTCGAGGCATTGCTTAAGAAGGAAGAATTCTGTTCCACTCCCCATGGAGATAAATGGAATAAACAAGACCTAGTAAAAAGAAAACCCAGAGGAGTGTGTATATAAATGCTTGTACACGCATGTGTAGTGTGACCTAAGTGTAAGTAAAAGTAGGAAGACGTACTTGAAATCTGGCATGTTTACGAGACAGAAAAAAAGACACCAGCAATCCTACCATCATGTAAAACAATTACAGGCTTCTGCTTTACACTCACTTGGCAGGATGGTAGTACCTCCCTGGGAAGTTGCTGTCTACCAACCTGCTACCTAGGTGACTTAACAGTTGTCTTGCCAAAATTGCACAGATATCACAATTCAACTGACCCTCTGAATTGTCACTCATGCAACTTTTATGACAACTTTACCTTACATTCATATCAACAGCACATAAATTATGACAACTCTACCTTCCTTAGTTCAGAATTTCTACCAATGCCTAACTTTGCCATCTGATAAATAAAATTACAGAATATCACCTGACTTACAATGGCCATTACTAAAGTAACTTCTCAAGTGCTAATTTTGTTAAAATTTTAAACAATGATGCAAGCATTGTATCTATACAAACACTGCCTCAACTTCAGATTATAGAATTACAGTACACAATCTTAGTGACATTATTAACTATAACATTAAATGGTGATTTTGCTACAGATTCATATAAAAAAACAGTACATTAAAATACTTGTGGCTATTGAGACAATATGTAAAAGAAGCTTTTATTGGGACAAATCATGACTAAAAGCTCTACCCTGAACAATAAAAGCAGTTCTGCATATTGTTCTTCTGTACCAGTATGTTGGTATTATGCCTCTATATCTATTAAAATACTTAATGATGTGAAAAAAATAGTTACTACAACAATTAAGGTAATTTTGTGGTACAGTGGTACCCCGAGTTTCATACAGCTCCCAACTCGAACAATTATGTAAGTGTATTATCGTAAGTGCTTTCGCATGTGTATTTTTGGGGGTCTGAAACAGACTAATATAATTCACATTATTCCTTATGGGATTAAATTCATTCGGTAACGGCACTCGAACAGCCTTCTGGAACGAATTATGTATGAAACTCAGGGTACCACTGTATAAGTATTTTGCTGCCATTTATATAGTTATAGACACAAACTACAAAACTCAAGAATATTAAACAAAAGGTAAGGTATTAAAAGGCTTCATGATATGAGGTACTTTGGTGACAATTTATTTAGATGCAGCTTCTATAACTACCTGTAAGATTTCAAACAAAGATAACATGCCTTTTGTTTGTCGGTGTCAGGTGGTGTGTGTGCTGGCATTGGTACTGTGGGTGCCTGCTGAGCTTGCAACAGATTCTCATGCAGGTACCTCTTCTTAGGGGGTTTTGGAGGAGTCATACTAGTGGTACTTTCAACCTGTGGAGACGACAGACTGGCAGCCACCCCAGCACTGACTGATGTGGTATTTGCACTGTTAGGTTTGCAGCCGTTGTAAGTGGTATTCGTACAACTATCATGTGCAGTGGTGGATCCTGGGCCAAGACGCTGCAATGTTCCACTCCAAGATGACAAATTTGTGGCAGCAACTGTATTTGTACTCATTGAGGAGATGCTTGTAGAATTAGCATTTGTAAATGTACCGAGTGCAGTCACACTTGGCAAGGAACCAATAGGAGATGAGCGAGCTGCTGAGGTGTTTGTTGCTGACACGTAGGCAGTGGTGAAAGTAGTGAGACTGGATGACCCGCTACCAATACTGTTACTGCTACTGGTGCTACTGCTGCTCCCACTACTGCTGGAAGCTGTCGATAGGAGGGTACTTAGCCCACCCATCTGAGCCTCATCTGTAAAGTATTGAAATTATCTATATTACAAGAATACATCATAATTATTGATCACTCTTTGCCCTCACAATGCACAGTATGCTTACTTATGTGTGATTATCTTTTCACAGTTATAGGAGAAGAGCTATACTCAGGGTGATCCGTCTTCCATATATAATATACCAAATACAGTGGACCCCCGCTTAACGATCACCTCCAAATGCGACCAATTATGTAAGTGTATTTATGTAAGTGCGTTTGTACGTGTATGTTTAGGGGTCTGAAATGGACTAATCTACTTCACAATATTCCTTATGGGGAAAAATTCGGTCAGTACTGGCACCTGAACATACTACTGGAATGAAAAAAGTTCGTTAAGCGGGGGTCCACTGTAATTGTTTATTAATTTTCTAGTGAATATAGCACTTACTACCACCATCTATTGTATCCCATTTCATTACTGTGCACTTCAAATTTTTTCGAATATCCTTCTAGCACCACTGCCTTTCATGGTCTCTAGTTCTCCGTTGTTAGTGCTACAAAATCTTTATTTATTTGGTTTTATATCCTTTTATTATCTTGTATGTGGTTATTCTCTTTCATCTTTTATCATATCAACTAACAAGAGCTATTTTTTTTTATTATTTTTAGCCTTTCTCAACAACTTTGTTTTATGATAATTTCACTTTGAAAGGCATTTCATAACTTGTATTTGGACATTTTATTTATCTTATCTAAACAAATCTCCAATATTAATAAGAACAATGGTTTCTACACTTTTGTTGAACATCTTGCCAGGAAACTTTTACAAAATTTGGGAATCAGTGCAACCAGGCTCTTCCCCCCACTTGTTCTGCATTTCACCACTACTTACAACAGCCATACACATGTGTTAACCCTCCTTTACTTGGTTTATTGCTTTGTGATATCATAAAGCCTACTATGCAGACAAACCATCATCAATAAAGGCCCCTGTACAACTGTATTCGTCTCTTCCTATCATAATCTGCCCAACTATTTTTTTCAATAATTCCTGTAAATGACAAAGTAGCTTAACCCTTAAACTGTCCTAACGTAGATCTACGTGTTTTCAACATTTGAAAGTATGTAAAAAAATGTGATTTTTTTTTTTTTTACATTTGAAAACGTGTAAAAAAATTTTTATCTACTTTTTTTTTTTTGTTATACAGTGGAACCTCTACTTGCGAGCGTGTCCACGTGCGAGTTTTTCCAAATACGAGCAGTCGATGGGTCAATTTTTTGCTTCCATACCCGAGCAAAATTTCCACAAGCGAGCAGACCTCAAGGCAGGTTCCTCGACACTGGTGAGGGGCTCTTGCTCTTGATCTTGGGAAGTGTATCTCATTTGTTTGTTGGACTATCTCATTGAAACTTGGGCAATGTATGGTGGAAAGATGCTTCTTAACGTACACCAAAAATGAAAGAAATCTAAGCATAAATAATGGAGTTCACTTTCAGCAATTAGCCACTCCTTAGCGGTAATTTTGAATGGTTTTTATGGTTGTATTCTCGTTTGTTTGGTCTCATTTGATAGAATGGAAGATATATTACAGAAATAGATATGATTCTAATTGCTTTCACGACAAAAAGTACCTTGAAATAGAGCTCAACCTAGGAGAAATGGTCCACTGCTTGGCTGTTTCAGAGTAAACAAATGATGTCACTGTCCATTCCAATATGCAGTCGTGAATGGGTTGACATTATTTATACAATTATTGCAATAAGGAATAACAGTAAATCTTATATTTTTTGTGTGAATAAAAATTACCATTTATTCATATAATAATAATAATAATAATAATAATAATAATAATAATAATAATAATAATAATAATAATAACAATATGTATAATAATAATAACAATATGTATAAAAATTAATATAATAATAAAATTTCAATAAAAATTAATATTTTTTCTTTCTTTCAACACACCGGCCGTATCCCACCAAGGCGGGGTGGCCCAAAAGGAAAAACGTAAGTTTCTCCTTTTACATTTAGTAATATATACAAGAGAAGGGGTTACTAGCCCCTTGCTCCCAGCATTTTAGTCACCTCTTACAACACGCATGGCGTACAGAGGAAGAATTCTGTTCCACTTCCCCATGGAGGAAAGGGGAGGAAAATTTAAAAAAGGGAACTGGGTAAAAAAAGAGAAGAAAACCCAGAGGGGTGTGTATATATATGCTTGTACATGTATGTGTAGTGTGACCTAAGTGTAAGTAAAAGTAGCAAGACGTACCTGAACCTTGCATGTTTATGAGACAGAAAAATGGACACCAGCAATCCCACCATCATGTAAAACAATTACAGGCTTTCGTTTTACACTCACTTGGCAGAACGGTAGTACCTCCCTGGGCGGTTGCTGTCTGCCAACCTACTACCGAGAAAAATAATATATGTATAATAATAATACATATATAATAATAATGTACAACATATAACATGATGGTAGGATTGCTGGTTTCTTTTTCTGTCTCAAACACGCTAGATAACAGGGATATCTTGCTACTCCTACTTACACTTTGGTCACACTTCACAGACACGCACATGCATATATATATACATACATCTAGGTTTTTCTCCTTTTTCTAAATAGCTCTTGTTCCTCTTTATTTCTTCTATTGTCCATGGGGAAGTGGAAAAGAATCTTTCCTCTGTAAGCCATGCGTGTCGTATGAGGCGACTAAAATGCCGGGAGCAATGGGCTAGTAACCCCTTCTCCTGTAGACATTTACTACAAAAGAAAAGAAAAACTTTATAAAACTGGGATGCTTAACCCTTTGACTGTTTCCGACGTATAAATACGTCTTACGAGCCAATGTTTCTGACGTATTTATACGCACAAATTCTAGCGGCTTCAAATCGAGCGCCAAAGGCCTGATAGGCCTACACGGGAGAGAATGGGTCTCAGTGGTCGGTGTGCACCCTGTGAAAAAAATCTGGGACCTAGCGGTGCATTGTGGGAACGCCATGTTGTCAGTCCATTTTCACCATGCCTCTCGGTAAGAAGTTCCTCACTCCTCGGCGGATTGGAGGTCTTTTGCTCCCAAGTGATAGCTCTAACAGCGATGAAAGTGTCAGTGACAGTGAATTCAAGGGTTTTCAAGTGATTTGTTACCAAAAAAAAAGTGCCCAGGATAACGTAAATAGTGACGAAACCCAGATGACCCACAACCTTCGACCCCCTGGTGCTGTGCCGGCTTGTTCACGTTCACGTTCGCCTGTACCAGGACGAAAGGGGAAAAAACTATTTGGTCGTGTACAACACCCTGATGATAGCAGTGATAGTGATATTTGATAGTGATAGTGATTTCAAAAGTCATTGAAAGCAGTTCTAGTGGACAGTGAGAGTGAATATTCCCCAGTGAAGCGCCAGTATGTATAAGGGACGTAGCATGCGGTCTGGTAGTGTTTCATATGTTGTTCCAAGGGGAAGGAGAAACTCTGGGAGCACAATCCCGTGGCCCAACACCACGACCTGATAGTGAAGATGACGATATTGTAACGATGGGTTTTGAATGGTGACAGTGAGGGAGGAGGCAGTGGTGGTGATAGTGAGGGTGGCACGGCCCATGTGGCACCATCACGGGCCACGCTACTAGCCACGCGGCTTGACTCAGCAGCCAACCAGCCTCACCCTACCCCACACTGCCACAACCTGCACCACCACAACCTGCACAGCCACAACCAACAGCCACAACCACGGTACAATATCCAGACCCCACCAGCAGACCGCATCTGGGATTGGCAGGCGGTGACGAGTTTGTTCCCAGTCCCCATGACTTTGTTTGAAACACAAAGTGGAATAAAGCCATCTTGTCACTTGGGAAACAATGCCAGTGAACTGGATGCTTTGAGTTATTCTTCGATGAACCCCTTGATGGACATCATTGTCAGGGAAACCAACCATACTGTGAATACACCATGGCAAATACAATTCTCTCACCAAAATCACGGCTACACAAGTGGAAGGAGAAAAACTGTGGCAGAGATGTACCTGTTTTTGCCACAATAATGCTTTTTGCCACATGTGTATAAGCACACTGTCACCACATACTGGACAACAGATCACCTGATTTCAACTCCAGGTTTTAGTGACAATTATAGGTGTCAATCGTTTCCTGATACTGTTGCGTTGTTACATTTTTTCAGACAAAACCAGGCCTGACAGAAGCGACAGGTTATATAAGATAAGAAATGTGTTTATGTACCTGAAACAAAAGTGCTGCATGTATTTTTATCCCTTCAGGAAGCTTGTTTTTTGATGAGTCCTTGATTTTATTTTAAAGGAAGACTCTCATTCAAGCAATAAAATACCAAGCAAGAGGAAAGCTTTGGTATAAAGCTATTTGTACTGTGTGATTGCAGAAGTGGTCTTGTTTTAGATATTATTGTGTACACTGGGGGGTAATACTTTGAGGATTTCCATGAAGTTATTGGGTATCCCCTGGTGATGTTGTTCGAACAATGATGGAACCCTATCTTGGTAAGGGGCATATGTTATTTACTGATAAACTGGTACACAAAACTCCCTTTCTCAGTTTATTTCTTGCGAGTGAACTTGACAGTGTGTGTGGCACAGTGCGTGGTAATCGCAAAATATGCAAGGTTCGACGCTGGCACTCGCAGAGGTGAGGTGCAAAACCTTTGCTGCCAATGACATCATGGGATTTCGGTGGCATGACAAAGTGATGTCACATTGTTGACATCAGTTCACACAAACGAAATGGTACCCAGTGGCAGGGACAAAAAAGAGAGACCAATGAACCCATTCTAAAGCCTGCAGCTGTCATGGACTACAAAACCCCAATATTTGGGTTAGTGGACAAATGTGACATGCAGATTGGGTTTGCAGACTGTTGTACACAAGAGTTATAAGTGGTATATCAAATTTTTTTCCATCTTGTTGATATCTCTATGCTAAATGCTTTTTAAAAATTTTACAAGTTGAAGACCAACAAAACACCAAAATATGGTGAATTTTGCCTGTCAGTAATCA